TCACACATATTTCTCCACCTTTGTCATCTTAAAAAGGTGGGAGGCCATGACAACTTCATTAAACATAGTGAAATGTCATTGTGAAACAATGATAATCAAGAAATGGCAATTAAGTGGTAATGACTGTAATATGCTTTAGTGTTCAACATATAACCAATTATATCATAAGATACCAATTTTATTGATACCATGAGTTCAAATCATCATTTAAGGTTCATGCCATATACAAAAGTATATATATAATGAAACATGAAACAAAAATAAAACATAAACTAGAATAAGCCTAAAGGCAAATAACCTTTTAAAGGCAAATCTTAGAATTCTAGACTACTTCGACCCTAATATTTTTCTCCCCATTTGATATCTTCAAGAAGGAGGGAAAAATCATCAAAATCATAAAAGCTCATGAGTGTGAATACAACGACCAAAAAGTTATTTTAAGGCATGTTTGACAATATACAAGATAACTCAATTAAGCTAAACAAATCATGCAATATTCCTTAATAAGAGATTATCAATAATCTCCCCCCTATTAACATGCTTCCATTTGCATCATATATCATTCAATGATTATGCAACTGATGGAACAATGAAGCAATGATAGGTAAAGTATGCTTAAGATATATCATGAAGAAGCCATACTTAAAAACCCTTAATTCATTAATGGAAATGGTAAGATGCAACATTTGAAGTTCATGGGTTTCCCAAAGATATGTGGATAATATATCATATGATACAAACACATCTCATTTTTCTTATCTCCAAAAATATATATATATTTAACACACTCAAGGAGTAATCATCTTAAGTTATATGCCATTTAAGTTAAAAGATGATTAAATAGGGATTGGTGCATGAGGAGTTAGATAGAGTGAAATTAAATTATAACACATAGGAGCAAGTATGGCCAAAATAATCAGCAATAAGGCCTTAATACCAAAACATCTTCTTTTATAAAGATATGCAAATTAATATATGATAGAGTGATCAAAATGATTTTAAAAACATATATGACATGAAAAGCATATATCATATGTAAGTAATGGCACCATTCCTAGTCATATGAAATGAACTCTTAATTATGCAAAAGTATATATTCTTTGATATATATATATATATATATATATATATATATATATATATATATATATATGATTAGAGATAATTGGCTACATGATTTTCAATGTGGATGAGTTCAATATTTCTCTTATTCAAATTTCTCAAGAAGTGATGTCAAAACATCTCATGAAGTTCTAAAGTGTTATAAATGATAAATATAATATGGCCTTGATACCAAAATATCTTCTTAAAGGGATGTGGTGAGAGATTGGCTACATGATTTTTCATGTGGAGGAGCTAACTATCTCTTCTAGACACATTCTTTAAGAAGTGATGTAGAAACATCACATAAAGCTCTAAAGTGTTACAAATGGATACATCAAAATGGAATAGCACTTGATATCATATTAGTCATCTAAGTTAGAACAAAATGTTCTTTGAATGACATATTCCCAAGACTAGGGTGTCAAATAGATATATGAAAATTAATTTCCATGACACTTGAGGAGATTGAAACCTTAGAAGATTTCAAGTTTACTTATCATGCTAATTTAAATTCATTTTGTATGCTAGAGGTAAGGTTCTTTGCACAAATCATAAATGTTGATTCAAGTATATAAGTGCAATCAACATATTTTCATGAATGGTTTTGAAAACACATATATATCAATTTTGTCAAAAACCATCAATCATGAGAAAATCACTAACATTTCAAATCTGAGTGATTTTTCTTCAAAATCTTTAAAAATGAAGTCAAGTAAAAATACATGCAAAAACATACAGAGTTTTTATTGCTTCAATTCAAATAATATGTGCAAGGTCATTCATTTAAATCCTTCTTCATAGTTGAAAACTTGGGGATGTATTCTAGCTTAGTTACTAATGATGAGACATGGTTCCTATCATGATGTGATTGTAAAGGAGCAAAAAGTATAACAACTTTAAGAAAGAATTAGTTATTTTATCTAGCACATATAGAATGTTCACCAATGAATGATCAATTGGAGTGTGGTGAACAACTCTTAGGAAGGCAATATAAATTCTCATTTTTCATTTTCATGAGATGGCTCTTCCAATGAGTTTCACTTCTTGAGGTTTTCAAGTGAGGACTCATTTGATTTTTCATTATCTAAAGTCCAACAAAAAAATTTCAAGATTAATAACCTTATTTTCTATATGCATGAAATTGACACAATAAAATGGATAAAGCATTTAAGATCATAAAAGCATATAGATTATGTTTTAGACATTGCTACTTTGATAGATTTGATAAGGTTCAAATGAAATAACATTAATGGTCTTCATGAGATAGTGTGTGCTTTCCTTTGATGGCATATCTTCCAAAAAGTAAATCTTTGACAAAGATTGGATATAGTTAATCTAAAGATTATTTGAAAGATACAGAATCATTTTGTGTTCGCATGTTGATAACTCATATATCAAAACAAACTGCTTTCATGCAAAATTATCAAATCTATAACATAGACATTTTTACATCTATTAGCAACAAGTAGCATATTAAGAATGCCACGCTTAGAATTTCATGATTGAATTCTTCATATAAAAGCACATTAATGAGAAAGGAATTCTTTACCCATGGCACTAACTTCATTAGCTTGGGAGTTGTTTCTCAATGTGACGCATCCTTTCCATTTTGTGAGTGAGAGGAATTCTTGGCATGATATTTCTTTTGTGCTCTAGCCACCAACTTGAGAATCCACTTGTCCTTGAGTGAAAATCATTTCTATACCTACAAAGCACATTCAAGTAGCATTCTTTGGTACCCGATTTCTTATGGGTCCATATAGGTTAGCATATATTGATATGGTTCCTTTTGGAACTAAATTTAATAAAATGCATAAGTGAGTTACTCCATACAATCAACATGCTTTAGTTTAAATTGAATCTTTAAGTGGTCATAGCATGCTAACACATTTGTCGATTCAAAGAATAGATATGCTTATGGTTACGTATAACTCAATGAACCAAAATAAAATTAATAAGAGACATAATTTCATTTATTGGTTATAATAAAAAGTACCATGTGCATTATCCATGATAAAATCCAGAATTGACAAAATAAGCAAGATTCTTCCTAAATGGGCAAGGACAAATAAAGTGCCCAAATTTGAAATCCTTTAAAAATTCATTAATTATAAGGAAGATACATTGCTTTACATAATCAAATTTACATTTCAAAGAATAATAGCATATTGGAAAGTAATGCTCTCTTGAGACTTACACTTTTTAAAGCAATTTTATCAAATTCAAAGTGTAGCAATCCAAATGCAATTTCAAGAAAATAATGTATGAAAGAAACTATTTTCAATCAATAAAGCATGCATTAAAAACAAAATTGCATGATTAATGAAAAATTGTACCAAGTAACAAAGACAATACAAGAATACCATAATATATTAATATAGCACATCATGATTTAGAGTGTATATCGTTTGTGGTCTTTCGGGTATAATGAATTCATTTATAAAGACTCTCCATGTATAATGATCTAATTTTCGCCTTAATTGGCTTAGAGTTGATCCATGGCAAACTCTTTAAGAACTAGTCTTAGCTATTCTAAGCTTCTTTTACTTGTCATTTTAGTTTGGAGCCATTTATGATTCTTTGTGATGAATGCTCTTCTAGTAAATTGTAGCGTAGAAATTGCATAATGTGTGGAATGCTACACTTAAGTGGTTGCTTTAACAAATGAATTCTTTTTAGCTTCAATGCATTCAATTTCAATTAACCATTTAGAACTAGCATTTGCACAATATTGATGTGAGTAATATTCAAGGTGCAAATGTCACGAAACACATTATCATAGAGTTTACAACAAATTTATCAAACACTTGGTATGCATATAAACTTTGAATGTGAAGGATGTGTTGAATATGCATTTTGTCAAACACTTGGTGGGCAACATAATTTTAGCTATATAAAAGGCTAGTAAAGAACATTTGCTCTATGCTAAAATCAATCAATCAATTAATTTACTCCGAGCATTCATCCCATCTTCCTCATATATTCAAATTAACATGTCCATCTTATAGCATTCATAAATAAAGTATTAAGATTATGAAATGGAAAATGTTAAGGAAATAAAGAGAGTAAGAGTTAGAGAAATTGCAAACCAAAGGACACGCGATGTACATTGTTCGGCACAACCTTGGCCAATGTCCATGCCTTGAGAAAACCTCTCAAGGATTCCACTATGGCTTCTCCATATGGGTAGAGAGAAAACCTTTACATATTCTTGCTTGCGGGTGAAGAACTGAGCTTATAATGAAGTCATCTCGCTTCTCCTTCTTTTGACGGCTAAGAAAAAACTATTGCTCACTCTTACGGGTGGAGAGCTCTACCAAATCCTTTCATTAGAGAGACACTTTCTTTCTTTTACGGGTTGAGAAAGAGAACCCTTACAATAACTTAAACAAGTTTTCCCTTGCCAGGAGCACCTCTTGGTCTTCTTCTCTCAAGAATAGATATATAATGAAGCTTACAATAAATGTCTCTCAAATAGATAAATATACAAATTAAAGCTCTCATACTTAGAGTTACAAATGAAATAATCTAATGAAAGCTCAACTCTAAGTTTGCTAGATGAATCACATGAATGATATGAAATGAATGCTTCAATGGTGATTCCTAGAAGATATTTATATAAAAAATGATAGACAATTTTTATCCCCAAAGGGAGGTCTCTCTATAGCTCTCTTACATACATAAAATGTCCAAACATTGTGTATTTATAGCCCCATTTCAGAATATAGCCATTTGGGGGGCATAATGGTAAAGTCCCATGAAGTCAAAGGGTTAAAGAGTCGTTAGATTCAAATCTAGGCACATGGAGGTGGCTTTGTTTTGATGGGAGTCGGCTCCCTTTGCTCTATTTAAAAGGAGTCGGCTCTATTGCTGGGAGTTGGATTTTTCGTAGAAAAATGGCTACTGGAATGAAAGGAGGCGATTCTACTCTAGTAGAGGCGGCTCTACTTCTAGTAGAGCATGCTCAACTTTCAATGGAGGCAGCTCCATTGCTGTGCATGACTTCAAATGGACATAACTCAATCCATTTAACTCCAAATGAGGTGAAATTTGAGTCTAAATTTATTACCTTGAAGTCAACTTTCTAATGCCACCTGTATTACTCAAAAACTCCAACCACAGAAATAGTTATGGCTATTTTAGTGCAACCTAATTAGAAATTTTGCAGTCCAGAAATATGAATTTTGCGATACTCATATCTCAGTCAATTCAAATCCAATTCAAGTGAAATTTGAGTCTAAAATCAAGGGCTCGAAATCAAATTTCTAATGCCACTGGTCTTACTTAAAAACTCCAACTATAAAAATAGGTATAGTAATTTTAGTACAGGATGGTTTGAAAATTTTCTGGGTTGAAAATTACTTCTTATGAGATAGCTATCTTTCTAGCACTTAGGACTTTGATGTATGGTTCAATTTAGTTCAAGTCCAGTTTCTAAGGGTCTTGGGACATATAAGATAATAAATATCTAGTACACTATTGATGGTTGTCGTCCCACTATATCAAGTTTGGAGTGTGTGGTTTTTAAGGCGAGGGCCAAGAGTTTTACATTTATAAAAGGCATTACTACCTTCACTAAAAATATAGCAAGGGTGAGTAGGGATCGTTCCAAGGGATTGTGAGGATCGAACAAGGTCGTGGAATCACTATTAGGGCTAGTAGGTCGAGTGATCAAACAAATGGTTGGTTGATTGATTAGAGAACAACTAAATTGAACTAAGTGATAACAAAAGAATGCAATTAAGAGTAAGTAAGAGAGAGAGATCTTGGGGTTTAGAGATCACCACCAAGCAATGCATTTCTATATCATTGACAAGTGATTAATGAGGGCAAATAGTGTGTTGTAATATTGGTGTGTGTATGTGTTCAGTTAATTCAACAAGCAAGGATGACTAGTTAAGCATGTATTCTCTAAACATCATGTGAAAGGCACAATATATCTAAGCAATGAAGTATATATTGTCTAAACAACATGTGAGAGGCACAATAGATCAAAACAAGTCATTAATCCTTTCATTAAGCTCACAATCCAAATACAATACAAGGTTAGAGATATAAACTTCTTGTATTCAAAAGCTTGGATCATCAAACAACAAGCATAGATTGTCCCCCCATTTAACACTACACTACAACTACACTACATCTACACTACTAGCATGAAAATAAGTTAGGGGAGAGGCACAATTCATCAAGGAATAAGTATGAACCATCAAGAAAATCACAAGAACATTCTTTTAAGCACTATGTGATAAGTGCTTAAATGCTGCACATTTCAGCACCTAAGCTAGGGTATTTCAGTCTTTGCATCTATCTTAATTTCATGTTTTAGTCTTAATTTATGTTTATATGTATTTCAGGGCAATAAAGTTAAAATGAGCTAAGAACGGTCCATTAAAGTCTTTTTGGAGTCAAGCAAAGATATTCAGAAAAAGTTCAGAAAATGACAAAAGAGGTCGTAGCCCATTGCTCGTATAGTGTGTTTATTCTTCGAAAGCGGTCAATCTCGGGCCTTTGATGATGTTCCCAAAGATGAAGAAGCAAACCAATTAGCCCGAAGCCAAAATGGAGCTAAATAAGGCTTAAAGGAAATTTCCAACTCTAGGGGGGATTGATCCCCCAGAGTGGGGGATCGACCCCCCAGGACTTGGCAACATTACAGATTTTTTTTATTGTTTGGGCTTATTTTGTGAACTATTGGGCTTTAATAGGGTTGTTACTTAAGGCCCAGTGAGCCATTAGATTAGGGTTAGTATTTATTTTATTTAGGTGAATATTATTATTATTATGAAGTTTTTAGTATTCTGTATCGATATTTTTTTTTCTCTTTGGAAAACACGAAGAGGAAAAAGCTAGGGTTCTTGAGAAAAGCTCAGAGAAGAAGAAGAGGAGCCAGATGAATCAAAGGATGGGGCTTGTTGACATCTTGCATCCATCAACCATGAGTGGCTGATTCTTCAACTTAGGGTTGGATAAACCCTAAGCATGTAACCTAATTCTTAACTCTTGACTTTTGGGAATTAATTTGTGTAATTTATGTTATAGCCTTGATATATATATATATATATATATATATATATATATATATATTAATTCTTTCATTTGATAGTCTATGTCAATTTCATATTGTCTTTTATGTTTTTGAATGATAATCAATTTCTACACTTGATTTCTTTGTGACTTGAATCTTGTGATGGCCATACATTGTATTAATTAAATGTAATTGTGTTTTGATTTGATGGAAATTGCTTTTATTAGATGGGTTGTACTACAAAATTAGGTTAATGTCTTGTCTAAATAGTTTAATTTAAAGTTAATTAATTTTATTGCAATTTAATTCCTAGGTAAGTAGACAATCCATACTAGTGCTTGAAATCCATACTTATTGTCACAATTGCATTACCCTCTAGATTAATGTGTGTTGAAATTGTAACTTAAATTGATGAATCATGCTTTGAATTGGTGAATTACACTACACTTAGTTTAATTGTCATTAGGTAGTTGATTCATGCTTGAAATTGATGGTTTATACTTTTTATTTCAATTATTAGCCACATTCTAGATTACACATTTTTATTCTCCAATTAGTTAAAAGTTAATGAGTTAGGGAATGTGCTTAGTGGTGAATCCTACACCCTAAGTCTCTTTCCAATCTTTTATACTCTACTCTTTATTTGCATTATTAAGTTTAAAATTAGTCTAATCACAAAACCAAACCTTTTTAGCAATCACATAAGCACTAAAGTAGAATTCAATTCTGGTAAACCTATAATTGTTTAGATCTCTTGGGACAATCCCTGCTCACTTCATACTCCATAGTATAAGTGTTTAGTGGTTTTATAAATTTTAAAATATGGTGCCCACTTGACATTATTTCTAAACCTAAAGTGTTGTGTATTATTTTGTGCACACGCTTGGGTCGCACCACTATGTCTTGACAATCTCCAAATCTATAGCATCAATACACATGGACATACATCAATAACACAAAATCTAGAGGCAAACACATGAACATCTATTCTAGCATACATAGACATATAGATAAAATGAAATGATTAATTGGAAGCATTAAATCACATAAATCATTGAATAAACAAGATGTATATATATCAAAGTGTCAAAACATCAATTACAACACTAATCCCTCAATAATACACAAGATTAAGATATAGAAAGCATGCTTGGGGCTAACTCTAGCCTTAAGAGGATGTCTAGCCACTCATGGTTATGTTGCTCCAACCCTCAAGGGCTAACTCCATGGTTGAAATCTACTCCTTGTTGATGAAGAACCTCCAATGGTGTCTCTAGCCTCTTCCTCCTGTAAGCTTGCTCTCTAAGAGAATTAAAACCCTAGAATTGTATATTGGCTCCCCCTTGTAAAAAGCAATCCTTATCCTTATATAGGTATGTCAAAATGACACCCAAAATGAGCTGGGGTCGTGCACACAATATTCCCTAATGATCGGATAAAGGACAACTTTCAATGAGATGGAAATTTAACTTTTTCGCACTGGAGGAAGTTCGAACGATCGAACCTTGGACTTGGATCGATCGAACTGGCTGAGATCCATCGAACTTAGGCTAGATCGATCCAACTGGTTGAGCTTTTTGGAAAAAGACAAATCCGAGATATTTTGGGGAGATATTTTTGGGAAAAGGACAAAAGTGGTTAGTGGGTGGTACAGTTGTGGATAGGATCAATCATTTGAATAAGGATAAAAGTGTTCGATTGATCGAAGGGTGGTGTTGGATCGATTGAACTTTCTGCTTTTCTTACGTGGAGTCTCTGAAATGTCTTGTTGTCTATTTTGTGAATCGAAGGTTGAGACGGTTGATCACCTTCTCTGCACCTGTCCCTTTGCTTGCATGGTTTGGAAACTTAGCCCATTTAGAATTAATTTCAGTTCTGATTTTCCTTCTTTTTGGCCAAAAAGGTGGTTAGATCTTTGTTCGAACTGGAACGTAACTGAGGCTCCGGATGATTGTTTAAGCTTAGCTGCCTTTCTCTGTTAGACCATTTGGAAATGCAGAAATTATCTCATTTTTAAGCAAAAATGATGGCATCCTTTTGATGGTACTCAAAAAGCTCATATTCCTATTCAAGAGTTCTAAGATTTTTTATTTTTTATTTTATTTTTTATTTTTTTTTTTTGAAAATTGAGTTCTAAGAGATTTGTCGGCAGAAGCAACTGTTGTCACCTCCATTCTCTCCTTCTATTTTTTTGCCTCAGCTTTGGACGGCGCCGGTGGATGGATATTTCAAACGTAACTTTGATGTGGCCTTCAACTCGGTTAAAAAGACTTGTGGGGAAGGTATGATTCTCAGAAACCACCTCGGACATCCCATTAAGGTGGCTTTAGTTTTTCTTGAGAATGTTAGTTGCCTTCCTCTAGCTGAAGGACTTGTACTTCGTGAATCTTTACTTTTTGTTAAAAATTGGGGGTATAAAGATGTGATTGTGGAGGGTGATTGCCAACCAGTTATAAACTTTCATGCATCTATTGAGGCCTTAATAGTTATTTTTAATGATATTAAATCTCTTCATAAGGTTTGTGAGGGTTCTTCCCTTGCTTGGGTTTCTCGTCAAGGAAATGTTGTAACTCATATTTTGAGCAATAAAACTCTTTTAGCCGAATGTAGCGATTTGAGTGGAGCGTTTGGCTCTAGTGGCTGTTAGATGCTCTCCTTCCTTGAAATGGCTTGTATTTGTGATTTTAATAGTGATATAATGTATATATATATATATATATATATATATATATAGTGTGTGTGTGGGGGGGGGGGGGTGTGGTGGGTGGTATTAAGAAATTAGGTTATTGAATTTTCAGCTAACTATAAGGATAAAAAATAAATAAAAGGAAAGGAAAGGAAAATAAAAAGAATAGGGCGAATTGCAAAAAAATGAATATTTTTGGTAAAAAAATCTCCCTCAACTATCCCAAGGTGGTATTTTTAACTGATGTCCGTTTAAGTGATTGTCTGAGGACATTTTTTTGAACAAAATTACCCCTTAACAGATTATTTTTCAGACAATTTATTTATTTTTTCTTTCTTTTTCTGCGTCAAGCAAGCCTTCTTCTCATTCATTCAAAAACAAAGCTAATAGCAGATTGAGAAACACAATTGTTGAAAATTTATCTTTCAACACTGTTGGACAACATGACATGTAAACAATAGTTGAGGCCCCAAGAATACTCAGTTTTATTTATTTAATTTATGACTTGTTTTTATTTATATACTTTTTTTTTTCTTCATATAATTGAACAAATCATTTGCATATAAAAAGTGTTATGCTAGATCAAGCTCACACACCATCCTGACAACCAAGGTCATACAACCCCAAGCACAGTACAAGAATGATAAAAGAAATGAGCTAAATAAGACAATTAGTCATAAAATATATATATATATATATACATACAAGTATACATTCATAAGTATACTAAGTAGTACTAAATCCATGGCATACAAGTATACAAGCTTAAGTATACTAAACCAAAACGAAATGAAATAAATAATGCGCAAGCATACTAGGTACAAGTATACTAAACGTAAATGAAATTCCACGCACAAAATCACATAAACCATATCGCACCTTACAACTAAACACATAGTGTACAAAGGCAATCAAATATGCTACCTATCACATAGGGGTAATGTATCAGAGACACGCTGCACATCACCTATGACACTAACATGGTAAACAGATACAGTAAAGGGTAAACGTATCATTCATATCGTCACATGACTACCAAATAGTCACATCCAAAATTATATTCCTAAGGCATGCTCAAAACAACAAAACATATAAACATGTAAAAGTGACTATGCAAATAACAATCCCAACAAAATAAAAGCAAGAAGGGATGAAATGCCTCTCAAAAGGACAATCTCACCGAAAGTAAATCCCAAAAACCCGGATGAGTCTAATCTCTCACCGTGAGGAAATGAATCATCTCCCAAAATGAACACTAAGGTACTCGAAACACCCAAACCAATAAAACAGACAAGAAGGTTCCTGTTGTGGAGACCTTACAGAATGAATTTCTCCTACCCAAGGAAGAAACTTCGCAAGACAAGAACGTATCTAAGGAATACGTCGGACTCCAAGAGACAATGCCCTAGCATCGATCTCTACCACCCAAGCTGGGATAACATGTAATGTCAAAACAAAACATAAAAATAAATAGTTACCAAGTAACATAGCAACAGACTACATACATACAAAAGTAGCAAAGAATCACATAAGGCATGTCAATGCATACAGGAGAAGGGCATATAATATGACGATATGCTACATACTATCATGTTAAGATGAACAAGCGTATATAGCACACTAAAATAGACAAGTATATACAACATGCTAAGCAGACAAGTGTAAATAACGTACTAACATCAACAAGCATATATAGCATGCTAAGGCACACAAGTACATATAACATGCTAAGGCAGTTAAAGTAAATTTCTAAACATACATCCACATAAGTATGTAGACATGCGATCACATCCAACATGTTATCAAGAAGTAACATAAACACATAGAGCATGGCAATACAAGCATGATATGCACCCAAAACCCATCGTCTTAAGGTTTTCGAACCCCGATGCTCTGATGCAACCTGAGATAAACCTGGATTTTACAAACCCAGTGCATCCTATGATGACCCAAAATGAATCCAAAATGCGAAAGTTAGAACATAAACAAGGTCTCTAGAGATATACGTCATCCTTAAGACACAAAAGTGAGTTCCTAAGGAAACCGAGACTCAATAAAAGTAAAATGGAGGCAAGGGTATCAAAGTCCTATAAGAGAAGGACTAAAGGTAAAATGGTTATTTTACCCTAAGTGGAGTGAATTTAACTTACAACAAGTCCAAGGAGATCAAAAACATCCTTTGGTAATCTCACATGATGTTCTAAGGTTAAAAGAAAAGAAAACCCAAAAGAACCCTAGCCCGGTTCGAACTAAATTATGACACCATCTCACTAAAATGATGTTATCTTGAGTTAGTAGAAGAATCTAAAACTAAAATTGGTACCATTGGAAATCTTACTCTGACACGGTCTTTTTAGACTCAAGAACGGACTAATTCGGAGTTAAAACAAAAAGGTTATGATAGTTTGAAGTTAGAAGGCCAAAACTGATCCTGCAGAAAAAAGTCTTGGGGAACTTAAACTAGTTCAGCACCCCTAAACTGGTTTAACATGACCAGAATGCCCATGTTGGACCCAAGAGTGCACCTGGAACCAGTTCAGCCCCTCTGAATGGTTCAACAACCTAGATTATGAACAAAACAACTGGAAAAAAAATAGAACCGACGCGGGGTTCTTGAGACCAAGACGACATTTTTTGGAAAAATGCCGTGAAGATACTCCCCCTAAAATCACATTTTCCAAGCGACCATATTAAGGTTGGAATCTATTTTCCAAAGGAAAACCCTAAAATGCCACTAAACTAGATTTTTCAACAAAAATGCAAAATGAGTCCATGGGAGGCTCATTTCACCAAGAAAGAGGTTTTGCCCGGAAATGATCATGCACACAGACGTAATATACCTATTAGGTTGCGCTAAAATGATCCATGACTTGAAAAGACCGCCGATGGAAAATATAACCTATCAAACCTCAAATCGTGAAAAATGCCCCTCAAAGGCAAAAAATGCAACAATCGGACCTAAATAAAATCAAAAGACAGTTTGGCCCTTGGTGATACTTCAGGCATACTAAATGAGTCCTAATGAGTGTGCTCGTGCACACTTTGCACCGCCCAATTTGAAAATGGACCGCTAAAACTTTGCGTTTTCCTATTTTTGCCTAAAAATGCAATATATGAAACCAAAATACAAAAATGAGGACAAAGTGGTGTTTGGCCCTTGGCCACACCTCATACATGGTAAATGAATGCCAAAGAGAAAAATTGCATACACAAAGCATACTCTGATGCAAAAATGACATGTCAAAACCCTAGTTTTCATATTATTTCCATTAAAGGCAAAATTCCACATTTAATACATACATATGATTCCAAATGAATTTTGCCCCTTGGCTACATATCATACATATAAAATGAATGTCAAAAAGTGTGTTTAGGCACACATTACAAGTTTTAAGACAAAAATGACATTTTAGCCTAACTATGTATTACAACTTAAAAAGGTAAAACGATACATGCTAACACTTGTATGCTCGTTAAAATGCATCATATTATATCAAAATGAGCAAAGTGACCTAGGGATTTTGTGCATCCATACCAAGGTATCCGTATCTGAAAAATAACCCAGCAACTAGGGTGAGCAAACAAGTTACTCGTAAGAAGAAGTGCATATGTATACCTTAAAGTTTCAAATGCCATGCAAGTTCAATATAGACCAATATAAGGGAGCATTCCTCCTAACGTCTGTATTCCAAGGCGAACTAGAGGATCATCTCAAGCTACACAAGCAATTGAAATGAAAGACAACATACAAGTATACATGCTCAAGTATACAAAATAATGTTGAAACACGATATACGACATACAAGCATACAATTACAGGTACACTGAGTCATGTTAAACAAGATAAGCAATATCTAGCATACATACACAAGTATATGATATATATAGAGGTCCTTGATCGGTTGGTCAATTAACATCAACCTTCGCAATAGCACGAATCATTGTAAAATAGGGCTATTGGTCGGGTAAGTCGAACCACAGGGACTACGCTAGTCTAATACAACCTAAATGTCTAGAATCATTCTTAGAATGATGAAGGGTGTATAGAGGTTTTGTTGGATGTCACTTAAGCTAGGAAATTAAAAGTGCATAAAACAATAAATTGCAAGAATTTAAGGGAGTGAAGTACAAGTAAAGAAGGCTAGGGAAATGAATCCACCTCCATCCCTATACACATGCTAGGTTAAGATTAATTTAAGGGGAAAACAACATGTATGATAGTCATGATACATAACAATACTAGGTTGCTATAATATCCTTAAGAAGTTCATTTAATTAGAAAGGCAAGAATAAACCATCAAAGGTTCACATGATCAACTACCTAAACTAAAATGTAGCTTAGAACATGCTTACTAAGCCAAGGATTATCAAGCCCTAATTTAAATGGTGAATGCACATAAAGCTAAGAATCAAGTATAGCCCATCAAAGGGAAACCCTAAGCCATGAACTATCTAGGTTCTCCAACTCCATACCATTAAAACCATTCCATGATCTAACTTCCATTGTCACCATGGAAGTGCAAGCAATATGATTAAGAAAAGCAACCATCCAAGACAAGATGAATAACTCACAATAATCATTTAAAACATTCAACATTCATTACAACAAAAATGAGGCTCTTGACCATGGAAAGACTATCAAAAATACATTGTAATCCCCAAAAATAAACTATACTAACACATGCTTACAAGGGAGGGGTTTCATCACCTCCCTAGATGAGGTTTAGTTACCCATTGGTGAACTAGAAGAAGGAAGAAGCATCATCCTCATCTCCATTTTCGAGCTCCTACTGTAGCACTCAAGAACACCCTTCTCCTTGCTCTCTTCTCTCTCCTTTCTCTTGCTCAAGATAAAGCTTAATCATATATGTGGCCTTTGGGTAGCCTTTTATGCTCCAACAATACCCTCTCTCCTCCAAGGAACACCTCCAACCACTTCATAAAGAAGGAAGATGGCATTG